TAGTGAGCTCTGCTGTACGTTTCTGATGCGTTAGAGAAACAAGAGATTAATACGGTGGTCTTGAGACACTAAAGACCTTGAAAGTAAAGAGCAGGACAATGAAACAGAGTTGAACTTTTACAGAAATGCAACGAAGACCAAACTGAGGTCTTTGCAGCATTGTGAGCAAAGCAACACCAGAGTCCTTAAATGCTACCAATACCATGGAAGACTTAAGCAGAGAATATTAAAGACAGACATTTACTTAGAATGGTAAAACTGAGAGAGAATCTGTCTGCACCCTTTCACCATAGCTAAAACTGACACAAAAAAAATAAAAAAAGAACCCATTCAAACAGAATTTATAATAATTTTTCTTCTTTGCAAGTTTGTGTGAATGAAAATAGTATGTGTGGAGATACTTGAATTCACGTTGACCAAAGGACTCTGTTTCATAGAAAAAAATCACCCACTTTATGTTAGAAACATCACATATACTAAAAAAACCTCCAAAATATAAAAAAACCCCAAAATCCCAAACCAACTTGCTTCCTTTTCTTGTACTAGTGATGGTGGTCACAAATTAAAACCACACATTTCCTTTTAACAGCAGTTGAGGGGAGTTCATTTGGGAAAGTTTCTAAGTCTTCCTGAATTCTGAGGTAATATTTTCAATTTTTAATATAATTATATTTTGGTCTTTATGAGAAATACTGCCAGCATTTGTAACCGGAAGTGTGTTTCAGCCAGGAAACTTTAGAAACCTTGAAATTTCCCAGTACTCTATTGAAATAATATGTAATATTTTTCTTTGTGTTGTTTCTTATTCTTCTAAAAAGTTGAAAGTCATGCTGAGTTTGGGATCCAAATATAACAAATTTATGCTACTCAAAGAGCAAAAAAGACCAAAATACAGTTATTGCATCCAGGAAATAAGAATTTCTCCCCATCAGGTTATGTATTTTGAACTATTTGTGCATTAATTTGTTTTCAGTGATGTACAGTTCATATTATGATTTATTGACCACATAAGTTTAATGTGGATTTAAACCTCACTGTTTTTTTTTATTATCTTCAGTAATATCCTGTGCTTGTGCCTGTCTCTGAACACACTTCAGAGTTTCAGGATTTAGAGATCCATGAGGGTAGTGCATTTCCTTCTTGCAAGCAGGAGAAACTTTGTGATGTCAGTTTGGTGATTGATGTGAACTTCTGCGCCATAGATACACCTTCACCAACTGGCATTTATCAGTTCTGGTGTGGGATTCTGATTACATTCAAACCAAGTTAAACTTGGCTAATCTTACAGAATCACAGAATTATTAGGGTTGGAAGGGACCTCTGGAGATCACCTAGTCCAACCTCCCTGACAAGGAAGTATTACCTAATAATAAAAAATGGTCTTACAATAATTAATCTCATAAGACCCTTGAAGTAAAATGGTGGCCCAACTGAATTTGGTGGTAAAACTGTGAGTGAAACCAATAGTTGAAAGAGATGAAAGAAAAAGTAGAAATCTCATTAACTGGAAACATGTAAAATTTGGTTCCAGTCTGAATGTGCTCCAGGAAAATCCCACAGTGCTGCCTGTGGTGTCTTTGCTCAACCAAGTGTCTGGAAATGCTGGGATCATCAGCCTTCTTTCCAAGCACTGTGTCAGAGCTCTGTAACAGGAAAGTTGGGGAATGACTGCAGAACTGAATATCCCACACATACTGATAGAGAAAATCAGCCGCTTTCCACAAATGGATACAAAGCTTCATGGAAACACTTCCTGAATGTTTGCACTTCACACAGCAAGTCAGGATTCCTAGTCATATTTGTTTTTCACTAACTAAAAGACTAGGTCTTCAGGTTGGACATTAGGAAGGATTTCTTCATGGAAAGATTTGTTAAACATTGGAATGGACTGACCAGGGAGGTACCCATGGACTGCCCATGGAGTCACCATCCCTAGAGGTGTTCAAGAGATGACTGGATGTGGCACTGAGTGCTCTGGTTTAGATGACAAGGTGATGATCAGTCAAAGTTAGACTCGATGATCTTGAAGGTCTTTTCCAACCTAAATGATTCTGTGATAATGCACCAAGAACCTCAAGCAAAGGTTCCTGAGGGTCTTACAGTTGTCAAAACAGAACATACTAAACATTAATAGTTTTCATATTTTAAAGAAAGGCAGTTACTGATATATTCACCTTCTAGATTGAAAAATATTTCTTAATTTATTTTTTTTCTTATTTGAGACAGTTGGGTTGTGATGATATATGCATCCAAAATTTGTTGCAGGGTGCATGATTGGAGTTTGCATACTGGAGTCTAGTTTTGGTGAAGGACATGAAGATTTTGTTTGGACCAGTCTGTCATAGATGTGAAGTCAGTGAATAAGAAAAAATCTGGTGTTTAGTGTGGCTAGATTGCTCTCCTTCATCACGTGGTTTAAGCTCAGGATATTATACAGCAGTCATTGTCTGAAAACTGGTTAGAGAGTGTCTTTTGTATTCTATTTTGTATTAAACCATCCCTGTTGGGCAAGGACTTGCTCTTGGGACTCCTAAGAATTGTTATAATATGAATAGTAATATTTCCCATCAAGCATCTTATATTTTCAGTAGTTTAGCTACCTTTGATACAGCAAAAAAATCTTTGTTTATATTACTTTCTGCTGATTAATACCCCAAGCAGCCTTTACTTTTGCAACTTTTAAGGACTTTCCACTGTCAGTAGAACAAAAATGCTTATGGTACAGTTTCCAGTGAAGAGTAAAGGCACATTATAAATATTTTTTAATTCATTATTCAATTAACACGTCATGAAAAGTGATAGCTTCCTTTAAAAGTTTAAATGAAACTGAAATAATTTTTCCCTTCATCTTTTCCCCACTTCTTTTCTCACCTTTTATTCCTCTTCTTTTCCCCAGTATGGAAACGAAAACCGGATACTTCATCTAAATTCAGCTGCTAGGAAGAAGCACTTGAAACTTGTGAAAGTCTGCTCTGGTGAGCTGTGACATTGTAAAGAAAAAAAACACCCCACATATAAGTGTAAAGGAATTTTTATATTGTACACATTTTAAACAAAAATGAGGGTGGTTTCTTCAAGAGGGTAAAAAAGTTCACCTCTTAGTCAAATAATACTGTTTCATTTCTCAGTCATAATGGATGGATATAATGAAAGAAACCAAGAAAATAAAAAGGCTTGAAAACTCTAACTTGGAAGGAAACTTAGGATTCGGGTCAGTGCCACAAATATTTCTGAACAATGCAGTGTACTAAATACCTTTTGTATTGAGAAGAGAGTTTATGCACTTTTAAAAGGCCATAAAATGTGCAACATCATGCAATATATATGTCAATGAAGTGCTAGAGGGATCTGTATTCTTTTCAGTTCTTTTTCTTCCCACTATATCCAGGATAAATTATACTGAGTAAAATAAATTATCTAAGTAAAATCTCGGGATTTTTTCACGATTTCATCTGCTTCGGAGACAAAGAGGATTAGAAAATTTATGGGCTTTCTAAGCAAATAGAGAATACTTCTCTTGAAATAGTCTATAGAAATAGATAAAATATCCATATAAAATATCTTGATAATTTAGCACACCGTAAAAGCAAAGAGAAAGAGAGGAAATATTATCATAATGAACTATTATTTCTCAAGATACAGTTGAGAAACTCTTGTGGTCCACTGGGACACTAATAGAGAAGTATATGACCTTTCCTGAGTTACTCACAGCCCTACTGTCACTACAAAGAATGAGACCAGACTTATGTGAGCATCAGAAGGGAATCATATTGAACTCAGCTTTTCCAAAAGACATTCTTCAGGAAATCTATGGGCATCATTTGGGCTCTAAAGTAAATGTTGTGAACACAACCTTGAATTGTCAGATCATCAATTCTTCAGGACCTGTAGTGGTAGGAAAAGGGGGAATGACTTCAAACTGAAAGAGGAGAATTTCAGGTTTGAAGAAATTCTGGACTATGAGGGTGGTGAGACACTGGAACAGGTTGCCCAGAGAAGCTGTGTCTGCCCCATTCCTAGAAGTGTTCAAGACCAAGTGGGACAGGGCTTTGAGCAATCTAGTCTAGTGGAAGGTGTCCCTGCCCATGGCAGGGGTTGAAACCCAATGGTCTTCCAACCTAAGCTATTCCAGTGATTTTCTAATATAACCATAGTTGAAGGCAAAGCAATAAGTCCAGGTAGGCAGAAAAGTGTGTCCAATTATGTGTATTCTGGAAGAATCATGAAGAAGAACAAGTTTCATTTTCTAAGCATACACAAAGAAGGCTATATGGCCTAAAGTGGGCAAAGCTTCCTATCTCCAAAAAAATGATGGTTTCAAATTAATTTTCAAATAAATGATGCCTGTTTTTCATTCTTATTTAAGTTGCAGCTGTGATTTCTCATGACTGAGTTGTGTGATTTGGTTAAAATCTCATTTTTTGAAGATAAAATGCTTGGCATGAAAAATATCTACATTACCTTGACAGATGTTTTGGAATACTTTTCTGATACTCTTCTTAGGGCACCAGTGGATGCACCTGCCTTTATTTTTCAAATATTTTCTAGAATTTACAAAAATATGAGATTATATAAGGGAAAAACTGTCCATGTGCTGACTAAAATGGAAGAAAAGAACTTTCTGGACAATATTAATGTAGATAAAGTAGGCAGAAGTCTTTAATTAAAGCACTTTAAGTCAGAATACACACAGAAGTGTACTATAATGTACAATACAACATTGGGCTTCTACAATTTTGTAGCTCTAACTAATTGTCATAATTAGTGGATATATATCCAACCCGAAAATTGTCCACCCCCTAGAACCTCCCTCAGGTCTGTCCCTTGGCACACCTTCCTGGAATTGAGTCGGAGGTCTCAGGACCCCTTTCTTCATCATCATCATCATCCTCAAGTCACATTCGATCTTTGGAGCTTCTCCAAGGTCTCCAGGCCTTCTAGGTTGCTTCATCTGCAATGGTATCTTTCCAGGTACATGTCCCAAACAAGAGGTACTCACTAAAATCTTTTCCTTGAAGAGAACATTAAACAAAACTGGAAGAATTTTGAAAATTTGATATGAAGTGTGAGAAAGGAGTTTTAGTTAACTGCTGTTCTCAAGTGTTAGAAACTATATAGCTATATTAAAAGTCTGTATGCTACAAATCTTAAGAATCCTAAGACATCACATACAGTATCTTATAGAGAATACAGAGTATTTCAGGGAAAAATAGAATAAACATTCCCTTATTTCTTATGCCAGCAGAAATTTTTTACATCATTCATTCATTGAGCATTTGAAAAAAAAAAAAGACTGAAATGATTTCTTATTGGCTTCTTTAATTCTGACAGGTTTTGGTGCAAAAACTTTTAATGCAAGTTTTCCATAAAACTAGTGGACCAAATATAGGGACTATGCTAAAAATTTTCGCAAGTGATTACCCAGTTAAGATAGAGATTTGGCATTCTCAAATATTCATCTATTTCACTGACATTTAGGTGAAGAAAATGGGCAGCCTGGAAACCTTAGTATATTACTAGAATTTAATGCATCTCTTCTTTTTTTTCCACCCCAAAAAATTTTAACTTTTTAACACATACAATTTTTGTTTTAATTTTTGTCTGAAAGTTGTATTTGCAATATTTGTCTCTCTGATATTTAATTGTTGTTTTTTCCTGTCATAGATTTTATCACAGGTGAAAACACTTGGACTTAAACATTGTTCGCTGGAATGGATCCTAAGAATGACAAGAAGCAGTTGTTCTATTTTTCTGTATTTGTTGCATGTGGGAGCCAAATCTTTGCCAAAAAAACAGTTTATAAAATAAATATGGAAAAAGCCTGTTTTCCATGCAGATGAATTACATGCATTTTAAAAATATTAAAAGAAATATATCTGATTTTGAGGGTTTTCCTTGTTTTATAACGTATCACTCCATAAATTCACTATTATGAATACATGAATTATGGTCATAATTCAAAAAAGTACAGAAATATAAGGAAATAAAAAAGAAATGTGATTAATTTAAAAATGGAAACATTGAGATTCCTAAAAGTTTGTAAATTGCTACAATTCTTATTAAAGTCACTAGCAGGTTTGAAGTTTAGAATCATAGAACATCCTGAATTGGAAGGGACCCACAAAGGTCATTAAGTTTAAAATGTCAGCCATTTTTTATATTGTACAATGTATATTACATAACTGATCCATAAGCTTCCTCAAGTTTACAATTCTAGCTAGAATTTTTACAAGTAGGTGATTGCTGAGTGTTCATAAAATACTGACAATAAAGAGATGAAGTAATCTTGTCCAGAGAAAAATAAGAGATCTTAAAACCCAATGAAAACAGAAAGAAAAGGGAACAGATGCTAACATAATGGAATGACCAAAAACTTGTAAAGAAGCTTGGAGCCTTTCTGCAGCTAGGTATATAGGAGACAAACTGTCCTCATATCCTTGTATGTGCTTTACTCTACTTTCATCTGGAAAAAAGCATCTCAGTACTTGTGACTTGATTATTTGTAAAATCTTGTTTTCTGGTCAGGCTGGAATTTGCAACAGATATGTTCTTAAGGTTGTGACTCATTAGAGCTTGTTGAGTCAATGGTAATAAACAGGATGCTGCTACAATTGTCCATTTAAAGTGGGTTTTGGTGTGTTTTGTTGTTGCTTTTGTTGTGGTGGGTTTGTTTGTTTGTTTGTTTTTAAAACTCGTTTTTCTTCCTTTCTAAGAAAAGAGATTGAAATATGTTAGAAAAAAAAAAAAGGAGGCAATCGTTTTAATGAAGTCAGGGTTTTTTCCTGCTATGCTGATAGTGATTTGAAAATTTCCATGTCTCTAAACATATTGAATATAAGACAGCTTTAAAAGACAGGGCCACATGTTACTTTTTCAACATTATAATTACTCCCTAACAGTTCTATGAGGTCTTGATATTATTTTGGAATTTTTAATTCCGCTGGCAAAGAAAACACTCCCTATGAAAGTTGTTCAGATCCATTATATTAAGAAGGCTTAACTGACTGAGAAAGAAGGATTGCAGCTCTTTGAACTGGAGGTAAGAGGGGACAGCATTAACAAAATAGTTGCTCACATTTTGAAAGAGTTGTTAATTTTGACTGTATTAAAACCAAAGGGGAAAGTTTCTTACCTCCTGTGGCAGAATGATTGAAATCCATCTGCTTGCACCATCTTTTGTCTGCTGTGTAGGCACTGTAATGTTAATATTTTATTCCACATTATCTGTACCAAGGTATCTTGGTAAATTTTGAGATATTCAGTGATGGTTTGATGCCTATTTTAATAACTCTTTGTGCACCAAGTGTCTTTCTTTTACCTTTCGGGAGTTTTATTTAAGAAGCAGACAATGAGAAATGCCTCACTTTTTCAGAGAAGTGGTTTTAAAATTTAACTAAAATTGAAAAATAAAAAAACCACTATAGCAAAAGCTTCTACTAATGTTCTTCAAACTATAAAGTCCAACCTTTCTCAGAGACTTTGTTCATCAAATTAACTGATGACTGTTGGTATTGTATATTCTTGGAACATGTAATAAGTAAGGTGAGTGTTTAGAAAAGTTTTAAAGCATATGTTCAGATACTTCCTCCTTCTCAGAGGATGAACTGGATATTGCTCAACACTTTTTTGGATTTATTTTTCTTAGAGAAGAACAAGTCTATGATGAAATAAACCCAAGAACAATTAGGACCACACTCTTGAAAAGGGAAGAGCTTGTGCAGCAGAGTTTATTTTTTGTGATTTTGGTTTAGACACAAAATATTCCACAAAAAAATTACTTTTAAAATAGTTTAAAGTTGGACAAAGGACAACTCAACTTTATATTGTGGATCAAGAAAAGATTGTACCTAAATATAACTTGTGTCATAAAATCTCCTCCCTTCATTCTAGTGTGTGTGCAGACTAACAGATCTAACTGCAACTGTGATCTGTAGTTAGTGTAAAGAAATATAATGCGAATGTGACTCAAGAATATTCAGCTCTTGATTGCACTAGAAATAGTTAATTTTAAGGTTTGGCTATTCCAGCAGCTGCAATCCTTATAACTACTGTTAATGTTGAATTTTGCTCCTGCAGTTTCTGAACTACTTTGCATAGAAGTGGAAAACTTTAAGCTCAAGATTTTGTGTATCTGAGGTTTCCAGTGATGGCAATATCATTCAACATTTTGGTGTTTTGAGATAACCTGATTTGATATAAATTGTGAAGACTATATTTTCTGTTATCTTCAGGGCTGTTAGATTTTCCTAGGAATAGGAAGAGTCCAAAACTTAATAAAATGTACTTGAAAGACATAATATTTAAATTATTTTTATGTAGGGCAGGTCCGGCAGAAAAATGGGCAAGAGTACTCATAATATTATGTTTTCATCAGTATTTGACAACACAGGCAAAATTTCATCAAACTTTCAAGTTGTTTATTCAGCTGATAATAATGGCATGTGTATCATGCTCCAGCTTCCCCAAAGATAAACTCTGCTTGGGTACATGCAAAGTTTTTCCCAAATTCCTTTGGGATTTTGACTAAACTACTTAATGCATTCAAATCAGCTCTTCAGCTTCACTCCTTTGAAATTCTAAGTGGCCTACCTTTTAACCTAAACAGAACTGAGGTGGTTAAGTCTCTTAAAGGTTACGTGTTGTTTTTGTAGATACTGGTAGAAACAAGCACTCCAAGTGTCCCCAAACTGCAGCTGCTTGGTAGTCCTCGAGATAACAAACAATAGTGTCCTGTGTGTACTATTTATTTCTTGATTCTACACAGCCTTTTCTTTTCCAGTGGCTCAGGGTAGGTACAGCATAAAAGTCAGAAAGCCAATATAAAAGTAGAATTCCCACAGCCCACTGTCATTTCCAACCTAAGCATGAAGGATGTGCTTGGTCTGTGATTGCTCTGCCAGCATTAAAGAGAGGTGTTGTGATCACCTCCATGCATACCTGGGACACGGTGGTAGTGCACTTTGTAACAGTTCTGGTCTCAAAAAAGGCTGCCCAGAGTATCTTCAGAGCCGTATTTTTGAACTCATGATATGCACACGTGCCAAGAGGGTCCAACACATCTCAGAACAATAGTCTCTGTAAGGCAAATAGCAAGTTTTTTTAATATTACATAATGTCATAAAAATCTCTAATCTGATTTCAATTATGTAAGTATAACTTGATTTTGGAGTGAGATCAGATTTTGACCCAAAATCCAATAGACTGCAATCATTCTTTCTGTTACAGATGAAAATCAAAACCCACGAGCTATAGACACATAAAGTACAGATCTCACTATCTTCTGGATGCTTGTATTTGTATGGATGTTTTAGCCTTTGACAGAAAAGGAAGCAAATAATTTATCTAAACTTTGAGGTCACATGTAGGACACAATTTCCTTCTACTTGAGTGGATCAGTGTACAAATAAGTAAAATCTGAACAGACCAGGAGGAAAAATTCTATGCTGTTTCTGCACTGAGACGTGTGAGTGTACGACTTTTAAACCTCAGGAAATTGTGTTGGGGGGGGGTGGAGGGGGAAGAGTGGCTTTATCTGTTTTTCAATGGTAAACTGCATGAATGCTTTCCAGAGGTCAGATGTAAAAGTTGTAAAACAACTTTTGCTCAGATACTACTGCTTAAAACCAGCGGAAAAATTTGCTAAAGGCAAAACCTACAAATTTGTACTTGAATTTTTAAATGGTAACACAGCAACAAAAGTATCTGAGAATGTCTTAAATGGCAACCTTTTAGAATGGAATGCAGTCTTCTTTCAACTGTTTTATAACGTAAAGTTGCTAAGACTTTATCTCAAAATAGGACAACCTACAGTCTGTTAAATATCCTAGTATGGCCTGATGTGAGCTTTTACTTATAAACAATATAAATACATGAGTTGGCTACAAAATTTTTAGACCCTGTAATCTACACCTTGCCTAATAATACTTGGCTTTGGATCCTTTTTTGATTTCTTTTCTGGTTCTTATTCATACAGAAATATATATACTTTCATAATAGTGATTGGGAAGTTGTTTAACTTAATCCACTGACATATGCACAAAAAACTTTAAGGAAAGTAGTATTATTAAGGTTATTTCCATATAAAACAAATTTTATTATATGAGTACAGTTTTAATTGGTTTCTACACTTTTATCTCTGTTTTATTTTTCACTTTGCATATCCAAAGATCCAACTTCTTCTTACATATATATGTGAGAGAAAAATACATACAGTATTCAAATGTGTGAAAGAATTGCATGTCAAAGGGTAGGATTTCAGTTATTATTCAATATTAGTGGAAATTGATTGTCAATAGCTACTGGGAGATGTTTAATTAGTAAAAAACTAAAGTGAGACAAGAGGAATAGTGAAGGATATGCCTTTTTCATTTTTAAAAGGCAATAGAAGTATTGGAAAGTGTTCTGAAAATTATTGAATTGTAGCACAAGAAGGGATATCAAGGTATCTTCAGGACCATCCCACTGCCTTGACTACAGGTGGGGTTAAGAAGTATTAGTTATCATTTAAAGATATTCCATAACACAAACTTTACATCCTTTCCAGAGAATCTGTTAAATTGCTTCATAATAAGTACTATGAAAATGTTACATTTCCTCTCCTTAGGTCTATATTGAATAACTCTTGCTGCAATATATGTTACACCAAATCCTAATTCCTTTAGACACGGGGGTTACCTTATTCTTTCTCTTCTTGCAATGTCACTTTATATATTTGAAAAAGAGTTGTGATGACCCTCCTCATCACTGAAAACTTTTCTCATGCACCTTTTTCTTGTTTCTCTCTTCATGTCAATGTATTTTTTATTCTGCACTTCGTTTTGCACAGAAATATAGAGACTTTTCCATGCTAATAATGAGAAACATAATTCATATTTCATTTTTTCTTGTAACTTCTTTACAGACCACTGCGTACATGCTCTTTTACACATTTGTTAGCCAGGAAAGGAGAAAAACAACAGTGTTCAATGCCTCTTGTTCTGTGATAGATGTGCTCTTCAGATTTAATTACAGGTGTTTATATAAATATGTGTATAATGGAGTGGTCTGTTCTTAAGAATCTGAAGAACGTGATCTTCACATCATTTGCAAAGCAAAACCAAAGGAAAGGCCTGAATTGGTTCTGCCTCAGCTCTGAGCAGCTGCTCCTTTTCAAAAGGTCAGAGAGGGAGGTCTATGGGTTGGTCAGGTACTGAAATGCGCACAGAGAAGCCAGTGTACTCCTTCATTTAAAACTGAGTTCCTAAATATTGACACCATTTCCAGAGATAGAGCCAGAACACTTAAAATCCTTGAAAGGCAAGAGTTTAGCATTGAAGGAAGAATGCTAATTGAAAACACTGTGTTCACAAGTCTTTCCTCCTACTCTTTCATATTATTTATAATCCCTCTCTAGTCTAAAGTATTTTTCCTCCTTAGAGCAAAACCACTCCTGATGTGGCCTGGCCTTCACCATCGTTTCTATCACTTTTGTTTTTTCAACACTTGTTTAGGCTTGGTCAGTCCTTTCACTTCCATATGTGTTTAATAGAGTTATAACTACCTTCCTGCCTTCTCTGTAGTTTCCTTTTATATTTAATTGTGCTTTAAAAAAAACATTTCTTGTTTTACTATCAGTTCAAAATGTAACCAAAACCTAGAGGGCCACCTACATGGTTTATAGAATATATATATATGTATATTGGCTGTATAGAATTTAACTTTTGGTACTGAATTGCACAGATTTCATCTGAAGTGGGATTCACTTAATGGGAGTTGGGGGAAACAGGAAGCTGAGAGCACTGTGGTTTCTATTGACTCACATTCAACAACAGTGACACAAATTTTGTGTCACTTATTTCTTGCAGTGAAGAACTCTGCTTGACAAAGAATTGAAAAATACCTCCCTGAGGTATATACCTCCAAATCATAGGAAAGAGAGAGATATAATGTGTTATTCATCTCTAGTCTTTTCCTCAAAACTTACACACAGGGATACTGAAGAATTCAAATAGCATGCCACTAATCCTGCTTTAGATATGCCCAAACATCTTCTCTGTCAGCTGAGGCTTGTGTTTTGCGCTTCTGATCCCACATTCTCCTGAATACAGGGCCTTCTGCACAATAGCAAAACTGCAGATTAACTTTACGCATCTGTGGCACAGAAAGAAGAGATGTGTCCCTGAAGCTCACTCCCTTTTGCTCTGTACTAGTTTCTCCAGAAATCTCTAGGCAGCTTATACTAGAACAGTGCTCTCTGGCATCCCTCTGCTGCACAGCATTTGGGTCTGACTGCCAAATTTACTCCAGTTTTGGAGTTTTTCGTATGCGGTTACTCTTGGGAAACCCCAATTAAACAATTGGCATGTAATTTTCTTGGCAATCATGAGCTCTATAATCCGATGCAGACTTCACCACTTTATTCAAAGTGGTGAGCTGTCCTTTATTGGAAATGTAATGCAAAAAACAAGAAGTAACTGTAAAATTTGATTCAGAAATTATATAAAATATTTGTTCATTTCGTTTCAGGGAAGGCGAAGGAGAGATCTGTCTTCCCCCGTTTTGTGGGAATTGGTATTGGAGAGTAGAGCTTATTTTGTCTCTGCTTAACATCACATGAATCATGCTCTTCCTTCCTTCGGGCAATATATCATAATCTCTACAATATTTGTGGAAAAAAAATTTGGAAATGTAGCTATGTTGGCAACTAAGCCTATGAAGTGAGCAGCAACACCAGTGCAGCATGGATATTTTCAAGGTTACACAGAAATTTCTTTTATTATTCTTATACCACTTAGCTACTATGTTTTGTTTTTTTTTTTTCCCCGGCATGCAATTTGTGTACTAAGGAAAGGGAAAGTGCCACAAGAGTTGTTGTATTTTATTTCCTTTTGTTATTGGATTTGGACTCATTGTGGCAGCTAATGTGTCCAATCAAAAGCCATCAAGATGCAACACAGCATTTTATCTTCTTTCAGTGGTTATCTCAAGCTCAGCATTTCTATCTATGTAGGCAGTGTTTTCCTCCCTTCCAATCTACTCCTTTAAACTAATTAATGGACTAACCCATAATTATATGTGCTTCCTATTCCAGTAAAGAGGAAGGAAACTTCCAAATCAGATGGACGTCAATTGGGCTGCCAATTCTGTTGAATAAATGAGTATCTACAGCAGGAAAATCTCTTCTGTAGCCAAAGCATGGATAGGAACTGGTCTTCCTCTCTTTAACGGGCAATCTAAAGGTCAGGAGCCTGTATGGAGACAAACGGTGAATTATGCCTGATGATTACTTTGTGGATTTGAAATGTAATAGAGGAAGTCACTGAAAGCTGCCTGCAAGCTGATTATTACTATTTCATTGCCCCCTGTATCATCGAAAATCAAGAACAGAAAGATATATTTGCCTGGAAAATAATAGTTATAATGGAAAAGAGCTAAAACCTCATTTTCCTACACCGTGAAGTGGATAAATTATTTTCCTTTCTATACAGCATTATATATATAAATTCATAAATATTTACAATAGACAGCAGTCAGAAAATTAAAAAAAAATTGTCATTATATTTGGATTATATACTCATGTAAATCTAGGGGCAACAGTAGAGGAAGTGATCACACTGGTTAGAATATTTAAATAAATTAATGTTCTGAAGCTTTTCCTTGGAAGAATACATTTGTAAAAGTTAATAAGAAAATTCTGTTTTCTGTAAAATAATGTTTAACTACATTTTATTCTGAAATAAAGAAAAAAGACAATTTGGTATCAAGATCTTTCCAGATTTAATCTATATTTATTCACTCTCTAGTCTGTATTAAGCTTTTGTATGAGTTGGCCCCATTAATTTAATTTGTGCTACACTGTGTGGCAGAAATTCTTTTTGACTTTTCACTTCTGCATTAGTTTTATTAGCTCACCAGGGAACCCCAGGAGTTTCAGTACTGCTTTGGGGGAACCATAATTTCAATAATTTACCACACTTTACTTGATGATGCTCTTCTTTGTAACCCCTCTTGTGCCTGAAAAATACTCACAATTTCCACAT